AACCACTTGAAAGGTGCAAAAATGGTAGGAGGAGCACATGATCCAGAAAGCCCTCAGGCAGCATCTAAGAGATTCAAGGACAAAGGAGAGCAGTGCAGATGGAAGTAAGGAGATTATCTTAGGCAGTCTTTGCATTAATCATACACAGAACTTGGTGCATGAGGGTAGAAAAGGAAGAAGTCAAAGTCCAATGCCAGCCTACAAGGCCAGAGAGAAAGAAGAAGACGCTGTGGACATCAGAGATATCAAACAGATGAGGGCATCCCCAGAGGACAGTAAAGACAACTGCCCAGATGTCACCACTCCATAAAGAGACAGCACTACAAAAGGACACCACTCTGTGCACACCCAGGCACATGCATAACCTTATGACATCTCCTCGTTCTCTCATTTTGTAAGGTAAGAATATTCCTACAGTTCTTATCAAAAATCACAAATGTGAAGCATTAGAATCAAAAATAATAAAATACCTAGGAATAATCTTAACCAAAGAAGTGAAAGACCTATACTACAAAAAATACAAGACACAAATAAATGAAATACATCCTGTGCTCATGGATGGGAAGAATTAATATTGTCAAAATGGCCATCCTGCCTACAGCAGTCTACAGATGCAATGCAATCCCTACCAAAATACCAACAGCATTCTTCAACAAACTAGAACAGATAGCTCTTAAATTCACAGGGAACCAAAAAAGACCTCAAACAGCCAAAGCAATTCTGAGAAAGAAGAATAAAGCTGGTGGGACTATGCTCCCCAACTTCAAGCTCTACTACAAAGCCATAGTAATGAAAACAATTCGGTACTAGCACAAGAACAGACCCATAGATAAATGGAACAAAATAGAGAGCCCAGATATAAACCATGCATAAATAGCCAATTAATACATGATAAAGGAGCCATGAATGTACAATGGGGAAATGACAGCCTCTTCAAAAACTGGTGTTGGCAAAATTCGATAGCTACATGTAAGAGAATGAAACTAGATTACGGTCTAACTCCATACACAAGAGTAAACTCAAAATGGATCAAAGACCTGAATGTAAGTCATGAAACCATAAAACTCTTAGAAGAAAACATAGGCAAAAATCTCTTGAATATAAACACAAGCAACTTTTTCCAGAACACATCTCCTCAGGCAAGAGAAACAGAAGCAAAAATGAACAAATGGGACTACATCAAACTAAAAAGCTTCTATACAGCAAAGGACACCATCAGTAGAACAAAAATGCATGCTACAATATAGACTATATTTGTAAATGAAATAGCTGATAAAGGGTTAACATCCAAAATATATAAAGAACTCACACACCTCAACAAACAAAAAGCAAATAACCCAATTAAAAAATGGGCAGAGGATCTGAACAGACAGTTCTCCAAAGAAGATATTCAGATGGCCAACAGGCACATGAAAAGATGTTCTACATCACTAATTATCAGGGAAATGCAAACTAAAACCACAATGAGATATCACCTCACACCAGTTAGGATGGTCAACATCCAAGAGACAAGAAACAACAAATGCTGGCAAGGATGCAGAGAAAGGGGAACCCTTCTACACTGTTGGTGGACGACTGTAAATTAGTTCAACCATTGTGGAAAGCAATATGAAGGTTCTCAAAAAACTAAAAATTGAAATACCATATGACCCAGGAATTCCACTTCTAAGAATTTACCTGAAGAAAACAAGATCCCTGATTCAAAAAGACATATGCACCCCTATGTTTATCCCAGCACTATTTACAATAGCGAAGATATGGAAGCAACCTATGTGTCCATCAGTAAATGAATGGATAAAGAAGATGTGGTACATATACACAATGGAATATTATTCAGCCATAAGAAGAAAACAAATCCTACCATTTGTGACAACACGGATGGAGCTAGAGGGTATTATGCTCAGTGAAATAGCCAGGCGGAGAAAGGCAAGTACCAAAGGACTTCTCATTTGTGGAGTATGAAAACAAAGGAAAACTGAAAGAACAAAACAGCAGCAGACTCACAGACTCCAAGAATGCTCTAGAGGTTACCAAAGGGGAGGATGGGGGGAGGCAGATGGGGATTAAGGGGCACTACAATTCACAATCACAAAAGAGGTAAGTCATCAGGAAGGCAATACAGCATGGAGAAGATAAGTAATGACTCTACAGCATCTTACTATGCTGATAGACAGTGACTGCAATGCAAGCGTGAGGACTTGATATTATGGGTGAATGTTGTAACCACAATGCTGTTCATGTGAAAGCTTCATAAGATTGTATATCAGTGATACTTCAATAAAAATATATAAAATAGAAAATAACATTTTAAAAAGTGAAGCATTAGAGATCTCCTGATTAACCTTGTCATTTTGTGGTTGAGGAAACTGGGGTTCACAGAAGTACATTTATTTGTACTTAACCACACATGTTGGAGCAGTATAATGACTACAGCCACAGTTGCTGGTCCCTTGAATCTATGGTCTGCCACAGACACTGCCTATCTCTCAATTTTTACATGAATTTGTAATGCTTTTACCACTTTTCAAAGCTCACTTCAAATATATTATGATGATTGCTAAAATGAATTTAATGGTAATAGAGTTTACCTCAAAATTATTTACATTAAGCCAATATAATCTTTCATAAATCTACAGGGAAATACCCCTAGAGTCATTTTATCATTCTTTTCCTCCAGTAGTTATTTTAGAAAATGGAATGTAGATTAGCTGTTATAACTCATTGCTGTTTTACTATTTTATCATTGTAAATGATGGTCAAGGTTAAAGATAATAGTGATATTATAAATCCGTTAATACATAAAATGGAGTCTATATGTCTACAATAACTAATAGAGTAATTAACTACAGAAAATATAGATGCTAGCAGAAAGACTTTGAAAACAGGCATAACTATTTTCTCTCATGAACAGTGGTACTCTTTCCCAAAGACATACAACTCTAGAATCATTCTTAGCCCTGACCAGAATATTCTCCTCTAAGTGATCTTTAGGAGACAACATAATCTTGTTCCCAATAGGCAGGGGGAAAATGATCTTTCTTAATAAGAAAGCAGTGACATCCAGATCTCTGGCAACTTGCTGCACTGATGGACAGTGACTGCACTGGGGTATGGGTGGGGACTTGATAATATGGGTAAATGCAGTAACCACATTGTTTTTTCATGTGAAATCTTCATAAGAGTACATATCAATCATACCTTAATAAAAAATAAAATAAAATAAAATAAAGAAAGCAGTGACATCATCTAAACTCTTCTAATACTAAAAACTCAAATTAGTGTCCCAGGCATTCTCATTAACTAAATTTCTAATGAACCTCCAGGAAAGTTTTGCTACTAACTTTTCAGATTTCTTAAGGGAAATACAGTATACAATTGCCTAAATACTAGGTTTCACCAACATGCTGAATTTATCTGCATCATTTTATTTTGTCCACACTGAAAGTAAATGTCAGAAAGAGCATGGAGGTAGCTATGCAGGTGAGATACTGTCCAGGAGCCTATGGACTGCTTAAAATATTTTACCAAGTCTCTCAAAGCTAAGTCCCAGAAGTACCAAATAATGACATACCAGCAGATGTCCAGTGGTGTTCAAGGCCCCCCCATGGGGCCTAAAGCGTGTGCTCAAAACTGACCCTTGATAAACATCTGTACAATGAATAATCACATCACACTCCTCTGTCATAAAAGCCTTTCTCAGTCCTACACCACCTATTAAAGATGTTATGATTCACTGATATGATTATATGATTTTTAAGTAATGCTTTATTCCATTAAAAGAACAGAAATGCTAAGAAGTTATCAGATTAAATGTGCAAGTAAAATACCCTAAAGATAAGTTAAACAGCCTACTGCTAACATTTTTTAGATCACATAGCTCCACAGCAGACCAGGAACTGCCTGGATTTCTCCTGCATGTCCTACGAACTTTACTCTTCCACCTAAAACTTTCCTTCCAACTAAACGTCATTTTTGCTATATATGAATTTTTGGAGAAAGCTTACAACTTCACACCACACCTCACCAAATGATAAAACATCAAGGGCAAATAATGGCAAGATGGGGATAGAGATTATACATTGTATCTCAACACCTGATCAGCAGGAGAACTTGGAAAGAAGCCATTATTTTTAAATTGAAGGCAAGAAAACTATTAGGCTGGCACAAGCACCTAAGAGCATGCTATCATGTTCATAACCATCAGAAACACTGTATCTTCTGGACTGTCCAGTTGATGCTTCATATGCTTCTGTGCTATCCTGCATGTATAAGTATTATAGAAAGTAGAATTGATAGCTAAACTCTCCTAAGACTAAAACCCAAAAAACAAGTTCAAAACATGAAACTGGTTAACCAAGAAGGATACCAGGGCTAGTGACAGACTAATAATTACATATGTACAGGGAATGTACTACATGATGAATTTTATAGAGTGATACACCTTTAAATCATTGCTCAGAAAGATGAGGAAAGAGGCTCACAAACACAAAAAATTGTAAGTTAAGAACACATATTAATATCAACTTATTCTTTTCCCCATGCCCATCATCCAAAGAGTGATAATAGGCCTCCTGATTCAATTCCACCTCTCCCTAAACTTCACATTTATTTAGAGGAGGCTAGACCAGAAGATCAGTAAGATTACTTGATACTCTACTTCCAGGAATTCAACTTTACTCCTATCTCCTGCATATCTTACAACAAATCCTCAGAGAAGAAAAGATGCCTAACAAATTCTTTGAGACTAAAACATGCATCAATCCATAGCCTACAAAATGATCTGCACGCCACTTTAGAAATACAAGTCACCACTAGCTTTATGGTTTTGAGCAAAACATTGGACAGAGTGGAATACAATTAATTACTATACTCAAAAACTTTCTTACAACTCATATAAATCTGAATCTACCAGGTAAAGGGGGGGAAAATCCTCTTTAGTAGGTTCATATTGCCCAAATTTCAAAACTCCTAAGCTTATGAATAATAAACATGTAACTTGCCAAGACTTCGGCTCTCCAAAGTGGAGATAATTAATGCTGTAGAGGTCCATATCCTCGGTGTGCCATGCAAATGTGGTTTTCCACATGCCAAAATAGAGATAAGGAGTATTTACGCCCTCAATAGAAATACCACACTCTTCTTCAACCACATCCAAGACGGTATTCAGGTGAGCTATGTTCCATTCATCCACATCCTGGAACCAGGAGAAAGAGAGGAAGAAAAAAAAAATCAAACATTAATGAACAAATAAAGATAAAATTTACTAAACAAACTGTCATCTGCCAAAATAATTACACTGTATATTCTAATTCACTGAAAAATGAAAAAGCATGCATTATTCAGAAGACACACATATGTATGTCCATTATTAATTATCCAAGATTACTAATAGCACAATGTGGTTCTATATAAATATTAGTATAAAATTATACCAAGTGACCTCCAAGTTACAAATGGAAATGTAAGGCCCTACTCCTCATTTGCTGTTGGCAAAAAGTCATTGAATCAAAGAATATGAATATGATGTGGGTCTTTCAATCTTTGGCACACCTTTTTTCAAGGAAGTGTTTTTGTGGTTTGGGGGTTATTTGTACACAAGTTTATAAGTCATATTCAACATCAGACATCATCTCAAGATATCAACAACAAAATACATCTTCTATCTTCCCTGTCATCCCCATCCATTTCAATGTTAGCATATGAAACATCATTTTCTAAACATTCTACTCTGATTATTGGAAAAACTCTCTGTCATCCCCATCCATTTCAATGTTAGCATATGAAACATCATTTTCTAAACATTCTACTCTGATTATTGGAAAAACTCTTAGCACTGTTCTAAACCACAGATCATTGTACTTTTACTACCCGTGCAACTAAATATTAATTAACCTCTTACATTGATGGGAAATGTTAAACACAGAATAACTCAAAAAAATACATATCAAATTTTGCAAAAATTGCTAGAATAACATAGCTTTGAAACAATAACTCAACATAGCTGGTAATGGTAGAAACGGTTAGAGTCACTGATATAAGTGATAGGAAAAGATTCTGGTTTTATTATAACAATCGATTATTCACTGTAATTCACAACTGTTTAAAAATTTTTACAAACTATATATTTTTCCCATATGCCTTCCTCATAATCAAATATAAATATCAGAGATTGGGTCTATTCCTATATTATCATGAAGAAACTGCAATGTTTTTAAATCCATTTCAACCTCCTTATTGTGCTATTAAAGTGGGACATTAAATTCATTTACATATTCATTTACAGACATATATATAATAAGGCCCTCTCCAGTATCTATGCCAATGGCCTCACAGACAACCACAACTAATATTGCCCTTGTACACTAAAACTTTCAGGGTTGATCTTTAGATGATCCTCTGATCAGTATACTAATTTTATTTCCTCAAGTTTTTGGGTGGGGAAAATTATTGATGGAAGAGTTAATGAAGTTCTGCCTCAGGTTTCATAATTGAAAGTACCAAGGGAAATCATTTAATTCCCAAATTCCCCTAAGGAGCCACTCTACCTACAACTTAAACCCCACAATGGGAAGTTTGCTTCTTGGAAATTGGTTGAATTAAGTAACATTTTAGAGAAGGTCCTAGGCTCTAGCCTATGAGACCTCATAAAAGTTCAGATTCTGTAAAATATTTTATCTCACTCTATTTATAGTGATGCAATCTCTTAAATCTAGTCCAACAGACTTCAATCCAATCACTATAATAATAGAGTCCTATTTGGAAATCATGACTGAGGCAATGAATCTGCAGTAATAAATGAGCACCATATCATAGGAATCATTTTTAAACTGAATGAGCTTGTGAATTTAGGAACAAACTATTCCTCTGAAATGCCTGCATCTGGAGAAGTCTTATCTTTATTTCTGACTGACATTATCTTTCAGAAATAACTGAGATGGAACCCCTTGACATCCTTAGACCTGTGGGTCTCCAGGGAAGAGGGCAGAGCAGAAAGGGTGCTGGCAAAAGACCAGATTATGGCCCCATCTCTGCCACTGACCAGAGCAGAAACAGAGATTTTCTGAGCTTCCAGCCTTTCTTCATGAAAACATGAGGACTATGGCACCCTCCCGCAGCTGCTTGGAGTACTAAAAAGGCTAAAGGACACAAATGTTTGGAAGATAAAACTTAGTATTTCCTAGAACTAATGAAATAAGTATCTCCATTCTCTATTAAATCTTCCTGGGAAGCCTCCCCCAAAAAGAACAGCTGAACACATGATAAATGATAATTAAGTCCATGAGTCCATGAAATTCACTACTCATTCTCTCCATTAATGGATAAATAACATTTTCCAGCAATTTCTTCTAGGCAAGGCCAAAGTTGCCAAGATGCTAAAGACATGACTGAACTGCTGCCATCTCATAGTAAAACTTCAATGGATGAGGAGTTGCCACTAATGGATGAGCAAATAAAGTGGTTTCTAGAGATGGAATCTACTGGTGAAGATGCTGTGAAAATAGCTGAAATGACAACAAAGGACTTAGAATATTACATAAACTTAGCTGTAAGTAGTGGCTGGGTTTAAGAAGACTGACTCCCAATTTTGAAAGTCCCATTGTGGGTAAAATGCTATCAAACAGCATCACCCACTACAGCGAAATCGCCCATGAAAGGAAGGGTCAATCAATGTGGCAAACCTCATTGTTGTCTCATTTTAAGACGTTTCCCATCAACCCAACCTTCAGGAACCACCACCAACGCAAGACTCTCTGCCAGCAAAAAAAATTACAACTCACTGAAAGCTCAGATGATGGTTAGCATTTTTCTAGCAATAAAATATTTAATTAAGGTATGTACTTTTTTTTTAAGACATAGTACTATTTTACACTTAAAAGTGAACGTGACTTTCATACACACTGACAAACCAAAAAATTAATTTGGCCCTCTTGTGATACTCGCATTACTGCAATGGTCTGGAAGCAAACCTGCGATATCTCCAAGGTACGCCTGTATCTTCCCCTTCTTTCAGCATCAACAACAATCCGAAGAATAAATTTAGGACAGGCAAACATGTAAAGTGCTGATTCGTCCCACCCAGAGGCATAGACATCCTACAGAAACAGACAAGCTGCTTCATGTGGGGAGTGATAATGGAACTGATTTAGCATAAAAGCAGTCTCCAGAAAGACCCCAGCTACAAACAAGCCCCATAATGACAGGTCAGAATTTGCCAAACTGCTCAAAGCTTCAAGTCATTGAGTCACAACATAAAATCGGAATACTGGCTCAGGTTCATAGACAAAGACCTTTTCCCACATTCCATTCCTTCAGATAAAGCTCTTCTGTGTGGTGTTCAGCAGGTGCTTGAGCAGTACTTGTGACTCACCTGACCTTCGCCGGACAGGCATTTCCTCCAGGTCCCCATGCCCCTCACCCCAATTACTAGTAGGGCCTTTGAGATCTGTCTTGCTTTGTCCATCTCTTTAGCCTGTTCTATCTGGTTTTGTGAAATAATTCACCACTGGACCATTATTTGTGCACATATATGTTAATCAAGGATCCTTCTTCCTTTCAATCTCTGTATCTTCTGTCTATCAGGAATTAGATGGCAATTTGGAAGAACTCTTTAAGTCTTCGTTACCGTAACAAGAGTCAGGAGCTGTTTGAGGACCAGGCTTTGGACTTCACAGAGGATAAAAGTGTCCCAAACTGCCATCAGCACATGAATGATGTGTCTGCAAACCTACACAGAGACCATACCAAGTTTGAGTTCTCGGCCCTTGAGCTCTAGGCCCGGTACCTGAAATAGGCCATATCCAGGTCAAAGAACACTGTCTTCTCAGGACTGTGAGCATACACAACTCCTTCTATAGTGACACACTAGTCACTGGGAGACCGAAGAACAACACAGCAGCAACATGCCATGCTAGAAATCTCACCAATAATGAGCCATTCCCACCTAGCACAGAGAATGCAAAAATCACGGAAACACATTTTTCCCAAAATATTTCCAATGGAACATTAGCCCTACCACAGGTTGTGGTTGAAAAACTTTGGTCTCCTTTTCTCCCTCTCCTAGAGAATCACGGTGCTGATGGGTCCTACTATAAGGAAGCCTGTTTCATTTTGCCCAACTCCACATTTTCCAAATATTATTTGACCACGGAATCTTGTTTATATAATACATTAACATCCTGTAAAAGCACACTGCGTAGGACAGCACATTAGGGGAAGCATCTATGGTAGACAGTTTCCTAAATGCCTTAGCCCAAATAACTCAGCAGTAAAATAGAAAATAATTCAGACCACAGCAAAGATGGCACTGCAGAACCCAGGGTGTGTGAGGGGGTGGCTGGAATGTGGTCACATCTATTGTCATAATCCACATATATACTTTGATTGTGTCACCTAAAAATACACAATGTAAATTTAAAGCAATTAAACATCCCCAGAAAGATATTTCTAAATGAAGACAGGCTAAAAGCTTAAAAAAGGGAAGACACAATCCAACTTTTAAAACTATCAAATGTATTGATAAGCAGAGAACAGGTTTTAAAAAATAAATTCATGAAAATGAAGTAGCATTCATCAAAGACTAAGAAAAGGTTGTCCTAAGACAAAGACTAATTAGTAAACATGAAATCATGGTTAGCACACATACTCTTTCTACTTTCACCAAAAAAAAAGCAAAATAGAGTGAAGAATTTCTATCTCAAAGAATGACACGATATCAGAAAGCAGCATGCTGTATGGGAATGAAAGTCATTCTCACTTAGAGCTTCCCTTAGGTTCATTCACACACACTTTATGCTATCCTCAACAATGTCAACAACTAACCCACATGTTTCCATCCCCTCATCTCCTGCCATCATCCTCAGCACCTTCAATATTATCTCCACACTAGAAGCAACATAATAAAATACTAGAAGGCTCCTTTCTAAAATACACTATGGTTCCATCTCTCTCCTGAGTTTCAGTGCCACATTTACCAAAAATGTCAGATATAAAGAAAGATTACATAAAACTAGCACCAAGTCTTGAAACTCTGCAGGTACTTGGTAATTATTTTATTAAAATGGAGAGATATTGAAAGCACTGGGATAATCCCCAGGCTGAGAACACAGAAGCAAAATACCTCATTTTACAGATGAAAGTAAGGCACTCAGTAACTTAACTGGCTCCTTGTTTGAAATTTAGAACAGAGCAGTCTCCTCAGTAGCAGATGTAGTCTGTCTAGCAAATCATAATCCTTTGTAATCAATCTTTTCATATATACTAGTGCTGGTCCCATTTTTGTAACTCATTGTGACATGGTGTTTCTCATTAGCACCTTGTGCAATATTTCTTAAGTACTTCTACTTTACTAAATACATAAAAATACAAATATTTAAGTATCTTTTTTAAGTTTATGCTTTTGCTCATTTGACTCTTACTTTTCCTCCCTATGACCCTTATTAGGACCCAGCCAATACCCACTAGAGTACTAGGATCCAAACAAAAGATCACAAACCCAGTCCCCACTAATCCACTGGGTACTGAAAGCTAGGCTGATGGAAACTACTGCCACCAATTCATACAGCTGTTACAAGCCCTTATGTCTCAAAAGTAATGCACACAGAGGAAAAAAAAGAAAACTTGGTTAGTTCTTTAAAGATTTCAAAATTCAATCCATTTAACAGAGTAATGTATGAAAATCATACCTTTCAATAGCTAAAATGAAAGTTCTGGTCCACATTTTAAACAGAATGAGGATTTCCTTAGGATCTTTATACAATAAGAATAAAATTAGACCCAAAGTTAATTACAATGTGTGATGTGACAGCTTTTTTTTGCTTCTTACTTTCAGGAAAATATTTCACTATCTCTAAATTTTATACTTTCAAAACAGACCTCTTTTTGCTTTTTGCATTTTTACATACCAAAACACCTCAATTTTACAGTGCTTTCTCTTCTTTCTATAAGTCTAAACAATAACCAATGTAAAACAAGTTGTGAAAGAAACAAAAACGGTCTGCAACAAAAGTACCATATGAAAAGATAGACTGTCGGTTTACCTTAAAAAAGCAAATATAAGTATAAAAAGAAGGAGGGGAGAAAAATAAGAAAAGGAAATGTCCAAACAGTCAAATGAAAGATTGCACAAACTTTGAGACTCCTGCCTTAAGTCTGGACCACTGAAAGCTTGAAGTTAATGTATCCCCTTGGTTCCATGCAGGAGCAACCCTAATCCTCTTGGGAGAAAACATTCACTTAGACCTATAAATTTCCCACAAATTAAGACCAAGCCGAAGCATACAATCAAAAATAGCCATTCATACGGGAAGGCAAGGCAATGATGGAGCACGCTGGCAAAAACCACTGACAAAGCTTTCAGAACTATTCTCCACCCCAAGGACTGCTGATACCAGAATTATCAGGGAGACACTGAGGAAGATGAAATGTTTCGAGAAATTTTTTAAAAATGAAATCACAAAGACAAATAAGTAAAATAAACTATTTAGAATGACCAGTCAGATTTAGGGGGAATGGACATCTACATCTAGAAATGAAATATATTATTAAACTAAAAACCCAATGAAAGGGTTAAAGAGAGGTAGCTGACCAGAAGTTAAAATTCAGGACATTAACACCCAGTGCAGTGCAGAAAGGCAACAAGATGGAAAATCTGGGAGGTGAGTTATACTTAGGACAGAGTAAGTTTGTCTAAGATTCATGTAAGGAGAGTCTCAGGAGAGATAAAAATTAAAAAACTAAGTAAACCAATAAAAGAGAAGAATAATACAGTCAATTACATTAAAATTAGAATCTCTATCCCCAGCAAGATAATAAAAATTAAAATGTATATTCACAAAACAGAATATTATACAGCAATAAAATGATTAACAATAGCTAACACAATAATGTGGGTAAACCTGAAAACCTATTATTACATGGAAAAATCAATGTCTCAGAAGACTACAGAAAGAAATACTGTTTTTATTAAGGTCAAAAATCATCCAAACTAAACACATTGTTTAAAAATATATGCATGAGTAAGAAAATATTTTTTTTAAAGGAATGCAATCAAACACAAAATTCAGGCCACCCCTGGGTAATGGGGTGGGTGTCAGGGAAGGACTGTAGAAAGAGCAGCCCATGAATAGTATTATTGTTAACAATCTAGCTATTGGGCTGCATGGTGGTTTCAGGACAGTCAAGGTATCCCAGTATTTTAAAACTTAAATGCATTGCATATATATAATCAAATATTATATTTCAAAAACATGATAAAGAAAAAATCATGACAAAGATGATTTCTCCTGTGTCATATCCTACAGTACCATTTCTGTCCAGGCACTGACAAGAAGATGGTGGTATATATCTTAAAAACAACAGAGGCATTTTCTTAAGTAAGCTTCTACACAAACATCTTCCATGGCTCTGACAGACTTTGACTGTTTGAAAGTATTGATTGTTAGAAAGTATAACTATTAGAAAGATTGTTAGAAAGTATAAATTACTGGGCTTCAGGTTGTACTTACACATAAATGACAACTACAGAACAGAATTCATAATTCTTTTGAAATCAGCTACTGAATATTTCATTACAACCTCAAGATTTTTCTCATTCTGCTTGAATATTGCCGCCAACCACAGCTAATGTTTATTCAGTAAATACCGTGGAGCAGGCTGTGTACTAGCTTTTTTATTTAAGTCATCTCATTTTATCCTACAAGGTAGACACTACTGTCACCTACTATCATTTTATAAATGAGGGAACTACAGCAAAAAGAAATCAGGTAACCTGCCCTAGATCTCACAGCTCACAATCACCATGGAGTTGGGATTCAATGGTGAGAACAGAAAACTAACCCATATTGGCTCTCCTGTGTCTGAAGCCAGGTGTCCAAACAATGAGCCAGGAAGTCAACTCTAAACTACCTACTTTTATATATTCAAGGAGGGGAAAACATCCCTCAATCCCACAATGACTAGAAAGGAAAGCCAGTAATTTGATGATTATGTGTTTTACTTCCAATTTTTTTAAAGGACTACCCATCAAGATGATTTAGAAATACAGGCTTAAGCCAAGAGCAGAACTCATAGATTTACTCACATTTTATTAAAAAACAAAAATCACAGAAATAATAAACAGAATTGTTAACTTTATGTACGTATCTACTCAAGGTCCTTGCAGAAGGTCCTAAAGGGAACCTGAACCATATGAAGCCTTGCTCTCCTTTAAAGAGGATTAATAATCTCAAAATTTAAAAAAACAGTAAAATCCCATACTTAGACCCTGACAAGTTACTTTTACATGTAGGAAATTAAAAATACAATAATCTTTACTAACATACACATATTTTCAAGACTGGCATGCCCCTTGTCTCATTGTTCTTACATATAATGACTCTAAGTGGCCATCACTAGGCAGAGTTTCCAGGAGAAAGCTTTTCAGGGGCCGCCCCAACAGGCACATGTCCTCTGTGTCCTCTGTCCTTCCTCCTGCTTTCCGGGACCAGACATTCAGACACAAGAGTACAGAACAAGCAGCCGCCATGAGAGCACAGGGCAAAGACAGCAGCAGAAACTGCCTGGAATAGTCTATGAAGATGGCATGGAACCAAAATACAGGCCTCAGACAACCTACCTCAAATTTTTACATGAAAATGAAACATGTTTTCATGTTTGTTTCAGCCCTTGATTCTGAGGTCTCTGTTACCAACAGTAAAACAACATCTGACTGATGCATTTC